AAGGAACACTGGATAAGAAATTCACAGGTATTAATGTTACCCTGTTAATTAATCTAAATAGCGATAGGGTTTTAGCAACCAATGACATAATCCACTTTATCATAAAAATTTCGAAACCTTAAGTATATATGTAAGAAGAAAGTAGTTTTCCCAGTCGCAGACACTTTTGAGCCGGCCAGTTATAAGCAAGGTAAGCGGAGAAATCTACGTCACATCGTGAAGTTGCAATCAAAATTAAACATGAGAACAGTGGCGCCGTCGACTTTGTATTTGGCCGTTGTAGTTGGCCGATATAATCTTCCTAGTAATCTACAAACAAGGAGCGGACATGGCTGAGGACGGACCTGTTTTGAAAGGGGGGTAGTTATCATTAATAAATAATAAGCCACTAAATTGGGCACTGCTCACTATAACACAATATATTAGTGCTGACCTTTGCTGCTGTCTTTGGTCTCTGCAATCGTCGCCGAATGCTGATTTGAATCTTGCACTAGGTGCAAGCGCAGCATTATTTTGGATTACATACGACGTAGCGTAGGGCTAACTAGTAAGTCATATATTTGTCAATTTGTCAATTAGCTTATCCAAACTGATACACATGTCAATAATTATGGAATCATGAAATGCGAACCCCTGCGAAATGCAGAGTTGGTGCATTTCACAGACGCAACAACACCAAGCTGGCGACGCCGACATTGACGTTTTCTCGTTGGAATGAGTTTTCATTAGGTATTTATTAAGACACAAAATGTAGTTTGTAATATCGACTCATTGTAAGCACATAAATAAATAAATGTTTTTTTTATAACTTACATCAACCGAATTGGTTAATTGGCGCCCGAGCAGGGATACGCGAAACTACTAAAAAAAAGGACCATAAGAAATTCGTTCGTGTAAAGTACACAATAAATTTCACATAATGAAGAAAAATACAACTAATCACATAGTGATTACAAATAATAAAGAAGTTCACATAGTGAATAAAATCATCATCTATCCAAGAGTGACCGCAAATAATAAAAAAAATTCACATAGTGAAAAAATGCATCTAATCAAAATTGTGATTAAAAATAATAAAAGGAAATTCACATAGTAAATAAAATCATCTCCTGATCAAGAGGGATCACAAATAAAATCCACATAGTAAAGAAACTCAATTCACGGAAAAAAAAAGTTCTTACAACCTGAGAGGAGCAACAAAAATAAAAACAATACAAACCAAAAGAAGTAAAAAAAAAAAAAATAATAATACGAAACCAAGAAAAAGGAAAGGCAAACAAATAACAACATATAAACATTAACTAAACTACAAGAAGATCAACTCCATAAATAATTCCCCCTAAGAAGACATCCGAAAACACCCACATGGATCGGTATAACATTTATGTAAGTCATCGTTATCATTTGAGTTGTAAAACCGTAAAATCTTCAAAGACATAAGCTACACTATTTATAAGAGCAAAGAAAGACAAAACCCTAACGAATACAATTTATATGAATGCGGAAGATCTAATAATAGAATACTTATCAACAATGTCACTAAGTTATTTGTCCAATACTACTAACCCCTCAGGTCCCTCTCCACTAACTCATTTTTCCACATCCCAAAAAATAAATACTAACAATTCGATTAAACAGGTAGTTAGGAATCCGGTCATAAAAGAAGATTATGAGCCACAAATAGACTTTATCAGAAATCTGTCGAATTTAGAGAAGGTACCAGACATTGTAAAATGTCTCAGAGAATTTTCAGGAAAAGCAAGTGAGTTTAACTCATGGAGAAAATCAGTTGACAAAATATTAAAAATGTACGAAAGTCAAAAAATGTTCACCAAAATACTTTGCCATTTTGCATACTATCAGACATAAGATAAACGGAGAACAGATAAACAGACATAAAGCCGCACTAGAGTCGTATCGTACGCCTCTCAACTGGACCAAAATCAGACTTTGCCTTCTGCAACAATACGCAGACAAACGAGATATTGGTACCTTAGAATACCAGTTAAACACGCTAATTCAAAGCAGAGATAATATAAACACTTGCTATAAAAAAATTTACGAGATTCTCTCAGTAATCCTGGACAAGATCGACTGTCTAGATTATAAGGAGGAAGCATTGCTTGCAATGACCAATTCTTATAGACGCAAGACATTAGACATATTCATAAGAGGATTAAACGGCAACTTGCGAAGTCTGTTAAGAGTTAGAAGACCGACAAGCTTGCCAGAAGCCTTGAACATCGTTTAAGATGGACAACCCAAATTATAGGGCGAATCAAGCTAACACTATGCATAACACCTTGTCGCATAACGTTAGACGTGGTCCGCAGCCAACATATTACAACAATGGAGGCAGAGAAATACCTCAAAGACCAGTACGTAACCCAAACTTTTTCCTAACATTAGCATATTTTGGACAGGGTCAGCCTAGATTTGTACAACAGCAACAACAATTCCCACCCTCATTAACGCCAAGGCGTCAACTTCCACCCACTCCGATTGAGGTAGATAGTTCCGTACAAACGCGTCAAGTTAACTACCAAAATAGACCTCAAATAGCAAGTCAGTGTCCCAATACCACACAACTAGAAAGAGTAATCAGGCCGCTCAGCAAATGAGACGAACTCTTTCTCAGGTAACACAGCAACCTAACAAGCAACAGAGTTTTTAATACAGAAGCCATCAATGAAGACGAACGGGTTATGAAAAAGAAATAGATTATAAAGAGCAAGAGTATGCTATAATCGAAAATCAAGAAGAGTACGAATATGAAATCGTCGATGATGTAAATTTTTTAGACGAGGTTCATCCTCATTACCTTTCTTAGAGGTTGAAATAAGGAACGAGAAAAAATAATATTCTTAATAGACACCGGCTCCAGCCTTCACTCATTCGGGCACCCATACCGAATGAAGTATGCTTCGCAGAAAAGTCTATAAGTATTTTGGGTAACGGGATAGGCAAAATTCAATTTTTCCTTTTGTCGGAACTATGTACCTTTGAAGGTATCATAGGTCACGACACATGAAAAATTTAAAGGTTATAATAAATACATATGAAAACTATTTGAAATACAAAACAAAGGAACTTTCAATTTGACTTATAGCTAATGTAGAACTTAGACTTTGTCACTTAGATGACCAAACTATCCAAATAATAAATTCAATAGTTAAAAAATGCCCAGGTCTCTTCGACGAACCGGACAGAAGACTTTCGTCAGTCAAGTTGGGGGGAAATAAAAACTTAAAGCGATAATCCCTGTCTATTCCAAAGCGTACACCTACCCTATGTCATTAAAATAGAAAATAAATAGCCAGATAAAAGAACTATTTGCCGACGGCATTATTCGACCATCGCGTTCCCCATATAGTTATCCGGTGTTCAAAAATATAAATTTTAACAACTTACGATTAATTTTTCGTGACGCTCGAACGAGCTAATCTTAAAACCCAATTAGACAAATCCGAATTTATGAAAGATAATTTAGAATTTTTGGGATTCGTAATCAGCAAAGACGGTTTAAAAACCAACCCAAAAAAGGTAAAAGCAATAGTCAACTTTCCTAAACCAAAAACAATCCATGACATTCGCTCCTTTTTTGGCATGTCTGGATATTATCGCAGGTTCATCAAAGATTACGCAGAAATGATAAAACCATTAACTACGCTACTTAGAGGAGAGGCGGGTAGAGTCTATAAAACAATTTCAAAAAGAATTCTTATTAACTTAGATGCAAACAAATAGAAGCCTTTAATAAAGTAAAAAAAATAAAACATATAAAGGGGAAACTGCATGTCTATTGCCGATAAGAGAATTAAGAAATCAAACCAAAGTAAAAATAACGGAGGGTGCAAAATTGTACACATGCGTTTTGTTTTAGTTTTTTTTGTTTGAATATTTTGCTGATTTATTTGTGTTTTTGTTATATACGCCAATTTGTTAAGAATTAAAAAACAAGTTTTTTGATTTGCTTCATTCGTTTGGATATTATTGACTCACAAAGTTCAAAGTGTCAACTATGGAAACACTTTTGCTCCCTACTGTATGTACTTTATGGGGTCGGATATGCTTCCTTCTCCCTGTTACATACATTTGCACAAATACATTATACCCTTTTTACCCATTTTAAATGGGTTCAGGGTACAAACAATAGAGCCAATAGACACAGGCATAATTCTTCTGTACATTAGGTAAAGAAAATGCATTTTTTTCTTCATATGAAAACTCCAACTTAAAACCACTACCAGCCATGATCCAACTGGAGAGACCAATAACGGCGATAGAAGAGGTGTTATCACTGCAGCTAATGAGAGATCTCCATACCAAGAACACTGAGAAGATAGGCGCGTTACGAGCCAATTTAAAGCAAACACTATCACTAATCTTGGAGTAAATTCCGTAATACTTTTGGTCTTAGTTGCCTATGCAATAAAACTCAAGCTGTGCACTATTACTGCGGTAACAGCCACACCAACTAGAACGAACAGCTCTCAGACAAGGTTGACGAAACAGAAGCTCACCCGAAAAAAAAATTTAAGAAAACATAGAACCATCCAAGATATACCTGGCTTTTAAATCGACCGGGACGTTCGAGATCCGAAAGGGAGGAGTTAACTCCTCCAAAAGGAGGAGTTTCCCAAATTACCAACATTTGGTTAACCAGCATTCTTACATTTGGTTCCCGCACGTGGCCAGTCAACGTGCTGGGCAAATCTGACACAAAGGTGTTGAGTATTCAACTTTATATGCATACGAGCTCAACGCGCTCGTTGGGCAGCCAACCGTGGAATCGCAAATTCGGCATAATTATTGCACATGTTAATAATTATGGAATCAGCGGAACCAATAAAGTTCGTTGGTTTCACAGACGCCACAACACCAAGACGGCGACGCCGACAGCGACGTTTTCTCGTTGGACTGAGTCTTCATTAATATTAATAAATCCGTTATATCCCCATGCGAAAAAATAAATGGATATAGTACGACTTAATGCTTACCGCGTGTTAACAGTTCATTTCGAATACGTTCTATTTCCAATCTCTTTTCAATTGTTTCTTTTGCAGCTCGGAACCTTCGAGATCTCTGTTGATTCATTTTTGCTCTGGGGGCAACTCCATCGATGGCCATATATAATAATTTTCTTGGGCGTACAATACCAAAAAGTCTGTCAATGCAGTCAAATATAGCAACCATCATTTCTTCTTCATTTTTAGGAGCTGGTTTGTCTTCAGGATGGGTGCAAGGGTGTATTATGCCGTTCATATCAAGATATAAGTTATCAAACTCCACTCCATTAGGATTTGGTAAAGTTAAATCTTCGAAGATGGTCTTGCCTGTTTCCGCATCTACTCTCTGTATTTCTTTCGTTATTAAAAATCATAATAAAGCTCTGTTTCAACTATACCTTATTTTCATTACATTCTATAATAACGCAAGGATATTTTTTGCTTAGCCATCGAAAAAAAGCAGGCACTCCCATTTTAACTTAAAGTAGTGTAGCACTTTATATCCCGTTTACAGACGATTAAACTCAGAATAACCAAGTTAAATTGCCCATAAACTGCGAAAAAGTCGGATAAAAAATGCACAGAAAATATTTGAGTCAAATAATGTTCTTTACGATAGTATCGATGAAACTCGTTTCCACGGCAAAGCTTTTTATATCGCATCAATTTTGTATCGATTTCGGAAGAGATGTTTAATAACCTTTTTCCATTATGCTTAAAAAATGTCACATTTTCAAATTTCATATATTTGTGTTCCATTGGCAAGTGTCGGTTGTTGGCAACATGTGAGTGGGAAAAGTACCGCTAAACAGCCGATCGAGTTGCTTTGATTTACATAAGCGCAAAGTTTTCCGTGTAAAAGGAAAAACATACGACCTCGAAGTAGGGTTCTATTTTATGCATTCTTTGCGGGATTTGGCCGTCTTAAAATATTAAAAACTGTGGGACTATTAAAATTTAAAATTATAGTTTAAAGTTACCGCTTGCCTTCGTTGCTATATCAGCTGTTTATGGTAATGATACATTCACATTTTTCACAACATCGATAGAAAACTCAATAAATCAGCGCAAAAAACACGAACTGCTCGGGGTAAATTTACACAATTCTCAAAAATGTGATGATATTGAAAAATGTGTAAAATGTGCTGTCTTATGGGAAAATGTGATATTTTTGAAAACTGTGTAGGGTCGCATTTTACACAATTTTCAAAAATGCCACATTTTCAAAAATGGCTATAACATACTTGCATCTACCTTCACATCTTACAACATATGATCATTTTCGGCTTCTGGAGCTAAAGTATTTTGACATTAGTAAAATAAGCTTGCTGCAGCGATTACATATGATCACTAACCATACAATGCATAAACTTGTCAAACGTCGGAATAATCGGATACCGATAAATCGTCAACGACTGAGCCCCATGAGTGTCCGCGACCATTTTAGAGTGCCCAGACAAAGTAAGACTGCTGAGAGTGGCACCCAAACGCCGGCCTCGTCAGCCGAACGTTCAGTATGAAGCCGTATCCCGCTCAGCGCACAACGTTGCTGCGGCTGATGCTGTTTCGTAATATATGTATGTTAGTATTAAATCTTTTCAGCCCAAATACATACACATGTGTATATGCGTGTGCAGAGTGTGCCTCGCTCACACTAATTGCTTTGCGCACTTGTGTGCATCTCCTTCTCCCTGCATAGCTTCTCAAAAACCCCGAGATCTACAAACATACATATGTTTGTGTTGTGTGGATGTGCGCACAAGTAGATCGCGGCGTTTGTCGCGAGCCAGAGATTTTTTCTTCAATTGTGTGCCCTTTGTGCCTGTGGTGGCCAAAGGCACACACATTCAAATGCTCTATCATGTATTTCTTCGTCCAGTCAGGCATAATGAGAAGAATCTGATATATTTATATTTATTAAAAACTTAAATGACCTAAATGATATATTTATATATTATATTTTAATTTTGTTGTTTACTGTGGGGACCAATTTTGCTTAAAATTAAAAAAAACTAAGTCGTATTCCTGCAAGGGTAATTTTTCGTCGGCTTGTCGAATTATTTAAGAAAAGACCAAACATTGAAAATGTTCAATTTTTTCGACTTGCTACTTGTGCACACGCACACTTTCGAGTAAGCAGTTGGGTGACATTATTAGAGGGTTTTGCCTGTTCATGTGAAAACTCCTATTTTCCATGCATGGTGTAAGGGTAAGGGTACCTGAACGTTGGCATGTGTGCATAATAACTTTTTGGGCCTGCCAAGCACACATACTTACACACTTTTCTATATGGATGAAAGCATTTATGCGCTTGTGTGCGTGTTGGTTGCCTGCCTGCCTGCCCGATGCAAATTTGACCAAATTTGAAGTTTTTGGCATTTCTGAATTTCGAGCTCTACACACAGACACACACACACACACACAAATATGTGTGCGAATGAGCCGATCAAGGGTTTGTCGTGAGACAGAGATATTTTTATCAATGGGTGCGTAAATTTGGGCGACGGTGGGCTTGCGGCCGCGTAAGGCACACATGTGTGAACAGGCAACGAAAACAGGTGAACCGCACTTGCCGCTCGTTTGCACTTTGATATGGAAAAAATGCAACAACAAGGGGTTAAACGATCAGAATGTCTAGCATACGTCTGCATCCATAATAAATAAAATATAATATATAAATATATCATTTAGGTCATTTAAGTTTTTAATAAATATAAATATATCAGATTCTTCTCATTATGCCTGACTGGACGAAGAAATACATGATAGAGCATTTGAATGTGTGTGCCACAGGCACAAAGGGCAGACAATTGAAGAAAAAATCTCTGGCTCGCGACAAACGCCGCGATCTACTTGTGCGCACATCCACACAACACATACATACGTGTGTTTGTAGATCTCGGGGTTTTTGAGAAGCTATGCAGGGAGAAGGAGATGCAGACAAGTGCGTAAAGCAATAAGTGTAAGCGAGGCACACTCTGCACACGCATATACACATATGTATGTATTTGGGCTAAAAAGATTTAATACTAACATACATATATTACGAAACAGCATCAGCCGCAGCAACGTTGTGCGCTGAGCGGGATGCGGCTTCATACTGAACGTTCGGCTTTCGAGGCCGGCGTTCGGCTGCCACTCTCAGCAGTCTTACTTTGTCTGGGCACACTAAAATGGTCGCGGTCACCCATGGGGCTCAGTCGTTGACGATTTATCGGTATCCGATTATTCCGACATTTGACAAGTCTATGCATTGTATGGTTAGTGATTTTACACAATTTTCAAAAATGCCACATTTTCAAAAACGGCTATAACATACTTGCATCTACCTTCACATCTTACAACATATGATCATTTTCGGCTTCTGGAGCTAAAGTATTTTGACATTAGTAAAATAAGCTTGTTGCAGCGATTACATATGATTTATTGAGTTTATAAATTTTAACGACTATTAATTTTATAAATAAGCTTCTTAAATTCAAATAATTATGATTTGTAATATAACAGTTTTCAAAAAAAATCAACTTTTCATAATTGTCGGTGGACAAAAGTATTTTGATAATTTGGTGTTGTTTAACAATATGAGCGAAAAAGTTAATATTGGTGATAGTAACAATAATATTAATAAAAAGTAAACCCTCCTTTGACATCAATGACCTTTTGTAAGCATCCAGGAATTGATTTTACCAATTTTTTTAATGACTGCAATGAAATATCCTGTTAAAAGCAATAAAAGTTGGTTTACTAACATGATTTATAGCTTTGTGGTGGTAAAGAAGCGTGGTGAAAGGCTTAAAATTAATATACTTGATATATATATTTACTATTCTAGAAGCTACATGTCAAGTTTGGTGAATCTAGCTTTTGTTATTATTATTACAGTAATTCGATGTCGATTTGTATCGATTACTTGGAAACGGGGAAAGCTATAGAGTATCGGAAACAAACTCGATCTCGTAATCCTGTTTTTTTCTCTTTCTTTATCTAAGGTTTAAAGGGCTAGAGCCACCAAAATTGTCATACAGCTTCTAGAATAGTACATATAGGCCAAGTATCTTAATTTTATAGCTATCGCCACCCGCCGCAGCCACACCATAGCTCACCATATAAATCAAATAAACAAAACAGTTAGAACTACTCATCATTGCAATTTTGAGAATGAGCGAATATTCTATAGCAAAATAAGATCTGCTGTTGAAATTTTCATCAAAATCGGTTAAGAAACACAGGAGTTATCAAAGAAAGCATGTGCTTGTAGCGCAAATCGCAAGAATTTCTTTCTACACAAGCACACACACATGCGCGTCTTTATCGAAATCTATAAACATCATTGGAATTCCGATTGTTTTTTATTCTGTGATGTGTGTATGTTTTGCTATTTCAATTGGGTTTTTTAAACCAATGGGTTATGCCTGTTGAATAGAAGAGGTGGTTGGTTATGGGGTTCGACTCCAATTGAAGAAGTTTTTTTTTTATATTACTCCTAACAAATGAGTTTGGTCACTAACCAAACAGCATATAGACTGGACAACTAGTACTAATACTGGGGACAAGCGTTTTCACTGCGGCTGGTCCAAAGTCGCCTTCGTTTTTGTTCGGGTTCGAGACATGCCCGCATGCTCTTACAGCAAGAGTGCGCGTCAGACGCCTGCCAACAATAAAAATTTTCTTTTGCGACCATGATCTGCCCATTCTCACATATGTGCGTGTGTAGAGCTCGAAATTCAGAAATCCCAAAATATTGTCAAATTTGCATCGGACAGGCAGCCAGGGAACCGGCACACAAACGCATAAATGCTTCTATTCATATACAAAATATGCAAGTATGCGTGAATAGCAAGTCCAAAATCTTTTAAATGCACACATGTCAACGCTTAGGTACCCTTTCCAACAATAAAGTGCTAAAATGCAAGATGTTCGCATCGACATAGCAAACCCTTTCACTATTTCATATTACTCGTCCGTTCAAAAGGGAAGAAATGCCTCCGACATTTGATATAAATGGAATTTGTGGACATTTTTGCTTGTGCGGACACATACACAAACAAACATTTAAACGGTACATAGACAAATTGAAAGAGCACTGAGAGTAAGCCAAAGCAGTTTCCTGTAGTGGGAGCGAGATAAAAAACAGGGGTGCCGTTCTATCGCACAAATCATATGGGTGAGAGTAAGCCAAAGCAGTTTTCTGTAGAATGAGCGAATTTTTATTCGCTATATATTTCTTGCTCTCTTGCTGTGAGAGCATGCGGGCATGTCTCGAACCCATACAAAAACGAAAGCGACTTTGGACCAGACTAAAAACGCTTGTCCCCAGCATTAGTATTGGTTGTCCAGTCTATATGCTGTTTGGTTAGTGATTTGGTGTTTGTCGACGAGGGTTTACGGTATCCCCTGATCGAGAACTACCGACTACAGTCTCTAACTTGTTTTTTCTCAAAGTGGAGTGAAATTAGTGTTTATATTGTCTTTGCCACAACCATATCGCAAATAAATTACTACCTTGAAAGGTGGAGGAGTTGGTTTAACAATTAAGCTCATCAAATAGCGCTTCGTGGCC